TGAAGTCCCTACTTTAACTGTATCTCCATTAAAACAAGAGAGGTACAATATAAGCAAAAATGCTTAGGGAGAAGTTTATAGTTTTAAGTGTTGCATTAGACAAGAAAGGTTCAAAATCAATGATTTAAGCTTCTGCCTTAAGAAGCTGAAAAAAAGAAGAGCAAATTTGCATATAGAAAGCAGAAGGAAAGAAATAATAAAGATAAGAAATCAATAAGAAAACAAATTTACTACAGGAAAAAAAATCAGAGTCAGAAGTTCGTTCTTGGGAAAGACTAGTAAATTAATAAACCCCTAACAGTCTAATCAATAATCACTTCTTTGAAAATGCAAATCAAAACCACAATGTGATACCACCTGTCAGCATAGCTATTAGCAAAAAGACAAAAGACAACAAATGCTGGTAAGGATGTGGAGAAAAGGGAACCCTGGTTAGTGCGGGGTTGGAGAGAATGTAAATATGGCACAGCCACTATAGAAAACAGTATGGCAGTTCCTCAAAAACTTAAAAATAAAACTACCATATGATCTAGCAATCTCATTTCTGTCTATAATCCAAAGGAGATAATTATTACTATTTTAAAGAGATACCTGCACTCATGTTCATTGCAGCATTATTCACAATAGCCAAGACATGGCAACAACCTAAGTGTCTATCGATGGATGAATAAAAAAAATGTCATATATATACAGAGTGGAATTTTATCCAGCCAAAAAAAAAAAAAGAAGAAGAAAATTCTGCCTTTTACCACAACATGGACAGACTTTGAGGGCATTATACTAAGTGAAAAAAGTCAGACAGTAAGAAAGACAAATACTGTATGATCTCACATACATGGAATCTAAAAACATTGAACTCATAGAAACAGAGTAGAATGGTGGTTGGCAGGGGCTAAGCAGGGGGGATCTTGATCTAAGGATACAAACCTCCAGTTATAGGATAAATAAGCTTCAAGGATCTAAATGTATAGCATGGTGACTAGAGTTAACATACTGTATTGTATACATGAAAATTGCTATGAAGAGTAGATCTTTAATGTTCTCAACATAACAACAACAAAATGGTAATTATGTAAGGCGAAGGATGTGTTAATCTCATTGTGGTAAACATTTCGCCATATGTGTTTATCAAATCATCACATCGTTTACCTTGAACTTACATAATGTTATATGACAATTAAATCTCAACAAAGTTTGGGGGAAATAATTATCCCTTCAGAAGGTTCAAGCCTGGCTATCAGAATATTTGAGAGACAGGATAGCTGAGAGCTGGTATCCTAACACCCAAAAGAGAAAAGGGAGTTGGAAATGAACTTATTCCAGCTAAGTCCAGAGTTGGGAAAACTTCAACTTTCACTTCTCTATATAATGCTTGACATACAAATAAAACTTTGATTTGTAGCTATCCTCCTATAATTCTCTCCAGTTCATATGGGTTAGTTTGTCCATAATTTCTTAGAGCTGGAACTACTTAATAGAGCATTTTCCTTCATTCTCTTGAGAAACTGCAGGTTTCATGAAAATGCAACTAAAAAAGAAATCTCTGCTCGCTGACCAAGGAAACAACATGGAAGCCTGGCATCTATCCAGGGTCTTGGGAGAAAAGAGAGGAAAAGAGAACAGCTAGGAAAATACTGGAAAATACTAAAAACACCAACCTTGTGCCAGACTCTGTTGTGCGTTGCAAAGTTATACTATCTACAAGGTGGTGGAATCCCAAACCATGAAAATAATATAAAACCTCGTCCAAAATCACTGAAATGCCAATGGCTCCAGCAGAAGTAAACTTGAAACTGCTCAACTGCTCTATGGGGTTCACAGGTCTTTCCATCCGTGTGTGTGTGTGTGTGTGTGTGTGTGTGTGTGTGATGTGATTGAAAATGAGAGCACAATTAAAAATTATACACATAAACAATCCAGCAATTTCGATGATCAATATATGCCACACTTAGTAAATACTAGTGGAAATAATAGAACAAACTAAAACAGATTAAGAAATAAATTAAAATTATGAAGGAGATAAAAGGAGGAAATGGAAACATGTTTTAAAAAAATAGGACAAGTATATAAAAAAAGAACTGGTAGAATTTGAATTAAAAAAACTCAAATTCTGAAATGAAAAATGCAGTCACTAAAAATAAACAAGTTAAAGAGTAGATTAAATGCATATTAAACATCAGATTAAATACAGATGAGAAGATTTTAATGAACTGAAAGAGGTCTGATAAAAAGCACCCTTAATGCAACGAAGAGACATAAAGAGAAGAGAAATAGGAAGAGGCAAGTGGCCAAGCAGCACTCATACAAGCCTACTGGAGCAGTGTTCATCAGAAAAGGCACATGGTGACAGCATCAGTAGCAGATGTGCATGCCCCTGCTAACCATGACACTCTATGGCAGGGAACAGCAGTCTGGCAAGGTGGGATGTCAGACATTCAGAATGGGATTGCGGGGCTTTTGAGCTTCATGATTAGGGAGCACTGGCCCCCTGCCAGTGTGATGCGAGGCAGAAACACAAACACAACATAATGTGTAGAATCTTCTATATAACGTATCAGAACTTTGTCTCTATTCCTAACCTGCTAGCTTGATACTCATGGTTGACATAACTCCTCTGACTGCCATAATCTGAGAGCTAGGTTCCAAAGCCTTGCTGGTCACCTGTGAGATGGGGAAGTTGCCACATCATTGTGTGTGACCTGGAAGTCAACAGACCCATCTATAGCATAATTAGGAGCTAATGTCCAAGCTTTGTGGTTTACCAAAATTGTCTGCCCTCTAGGCCACAACCAGTTTTGGTGGAGCTTTGCAAGAGGCCCAGTCAGACAGCCTGCAAGGGCTCAGTTTTGGACAAACCAATAGCCAAGACATGGCAACAACCATCGCACTCCAGCACATAAGAAACTATTATATGAAACTATTCAACAAATTTGATATAAGAGTTCCAATTTCTACATGGCTAAAATTGAGATTATACAGGGAAAAGAATAAAGAGCAGTACCTGAAAACGATGGAGATCTTCCAAAATTGATGAAAGACTTGAATCTTCCAAATGAAGATGTATATTATCCCAAGTCAGATAAGTAAATACAAATCTATATCTTGAGATTTAATTGTGAAATTGCAGAACATCACACAAATAAAATCTTAAGAACAACTAGAGAGAAAAGACAGATAACCAAGAAAGGAATCACAACGCAGCTGACAGCAGACTTCTCCGGTAACTAGTCTCCATAGATGCACCCTGACAATTCTTCCCTTTTCTGTAAGCACAAGCCGCTTCTCCTATCAAGAGCTGCAGCTTCCCTGGGGCTGGCCCTTAGAATGCTCTGACCAATGGAATGCAGCAGAAATGGCATCTGAGACTTTGGATGCCTTCAGAGGACTGACAAAGTAGAATTCTTCTTGTGACTCTTGCTCTAGGACACTAGACCTCAAACCTCAGCCGCCATGTTAGGAAAAGCCCAAGCTACACAGAGTAGCCACATAAATGAGAACTTGAAGGGCAACAATTAACAGTCCCAGGTGTGATTTAAACCACAGCCAGTATCAACTGACAGCCATGAGAGCAGTTATCTTTGATGTTCTAGCTAAATTGATTCCCCAGATAACTGCAGCCCCAGCCAATATCAAAAGGAAAAACCACCCAACTGATGCAAGGCAACCTACAGAATCATGAGAAAGAAAAACATGTTTTAAGCCATTAAATTTGAATGTTTTTAAGCATCAACTGATAATTAAATATTTCTTAGTTGCATTAACATATTCCAGAAGACAATAAACCAAACCTCTAAAGTACTGAGGAAAAATAATGCTCAACCTGGAATTCTAAAACAAACATCTTCCTAGAGTAAGACCAAAATACATTTAGGCAAATAGTGAAAGTTCACAACTTATTCTCTCACAGAAAGAAATACTACAGAACATATAGATATAAAAATACTTGTAAGCAATCAAATTTATAAATATGTTGTAAATCTAAATAAGCAATGGCATGCTAAAAAGACATAACTACAATATTAAGTAATATCTGATCTGGTTAAATAAGTTGTCAATTTTGGTGTTTTGAATTAATACTTAACATAACACTAGCATAGAGAAAATGTTCTAAAGAACAGCCAACATATATGAAAGCATCTCCTAAACCTTGCACTCACTATCAATTCTTCCAGTCTCCTTCCCTCAGACATGATCTTCTCACATCTCCACACCTGAGAGAGTCCTGGCCCCAACCATCAAGGGATAAAGAGTCACTTGTAAGAAGAAAGCAAGAAGTCAGCCAGGCAGAAGAACTCTCTCCTGGCATTCAGCAGGTTCAACAATTGATGCTATTTATTTTTATCTGCTTTGTTGGAATCAAAAACGATGTCATGGAAATGCCATGTGAATGATAATTTTTAAAATTCAGGACCAAGCTATGACCAAAAGGCATCTTACAAAAGACCTGAAGCAAGAAACTGCCATAACTCTTATATGAACTATTAATTTTCTCCCCATCTCATTCTTAACACGCAAATTTTCAATTGCCTAAAGTTTTCAGTTGAGTACCAAATTTAGAGAAGTTCAGAGCTTCTATTTTCAATTAACACAGAACTCAGTTATATTAGAAAGTGATTAATCATTTTAACCCTTTCCCCATTTAGAAAAAAAAAAGTGCAGCTTGCTGCCAGAGTTAATTTAACATCACACATAGGAATGCTACATTTTCTAGTATTTTACATTTTCAGTGATCAAGAATTACTGTATTTTGTAATTGGAAATACCATAATCAGAATGCTATAAATAGAATGATGTCATTTGTTTCCAAAGACTATCGATATACTAGAGCGATGCAAAAATAATAATGAAAGTGAGGTATTTCATGGCAAACGTTGGGGGTAAGGTGAGGACTGCAATCCAGGAGTTATTTCGGGGTAAACACTGTAGCCGCAAGCGCCACCAGCAAGTATTATTGGGGCAAACGGGAAATGAGTTATAGAAGGGTATTAAGCGTTACTTACTTTAACAGCAAATTTCTTTGATGCCATGGCTTACCGAGTCCAGAGTAATTACAGACCTTTAATGGAAGAAATAAGAAAATTATAAGTAGGTATCCCAAACTCTCTATCTGAATATTATATGAGAAAGGTTGACTGAATAATAAAATATCAATAGGTATTTGCAAGATGAATGTTGACTTATAACTGGTCTTAACAAAAATAAATTGAATTAGTAATTTTAAAACTTCTCACAAAGCATGGGCCCAGATGTATTTTACCAAATGTTTAATGAAGAATCAATACCAATTCTTTGCAAACTCTTTAGAAAAACAGAAGCATAAGAGAACTTCTCAAACATTTTAAGAGGCCAGTATTATCCTGATAGCAATACCAGACATCACAAGAAAACTATACACCAATATACATTATGAATAAAGACACAAAACTCAATGAAATACTACTAACCAAATCTAGCAATATATTTAAAAAATTATATGCCATGACCAAGTTGGATTTATCCCTGGAGTATAAGGTTGGTTTAACATCTGAAAATTAATCAGTATAATACACTATATTAAGATTGAAAGAAAAAAAATGATCATCTCGAATTTTAAAAAAATTAACAAAATCCATCTTTGATTAAAAAAAAAAAATCCAATGCACTAGGAATAAACATCCTCAACTTGATGAAAAGCATCTATGAAAAAACCACAGCTGAAACCATAGTTAATGGGTGAAAGACTCAATGCTTTCTCCTCTAAGGTGAGGAAAAGACAGAGAGATCTTCACTTGCCATTTCTATTCAATGTGGTATTAGAGGTTCTAGCCAGGGCAATTAGGCAAGAAAAAGAAATAAAAGGCATCCAGATTGGGAAAGAAGAGGTAAAACTATATATATTAACACATGGCATGCTCTTATACATAGAAAATCCTAAAGAATAAAAAATAAATAAACTATAGAATAAACAAGTCTGGCAAGGTTGCAAGATACAACATCAATATTAAAAAATCAACTATATTTCTATATACCAGCAATAAATAATCCTGAAATTAAATTAAGAAAACAATTCCATTTATAATAGTATCAAAAAGAATACTTTGAAAAAAATTTAAGGAAGAACAAAATTTGTACATCAAAAACCATGAAATATTATTGAAAGAAATTAAAGACAGGTAAATAGATAGACATCCCATGTTCATGAATTGGAAGACTGAATATTCCTCAAATGGATCTACAGATTCAATACAATATCAAAATCCCAGTAGACTTCTTTATAGAAAATGAAAAGCTTATTTAAAAAAAAGAAAATGAAAAACTTACCCTAAAATTGATATGAAAATGCAAGCGATCTCGAATAGTAAATCTCCAAAAAGAACAAAGTTGGAGGATTCATACTTCCCCATTTGAAAACTTACAACAAAGCCACAGCAATCAAGATAGTACAGTACTAGCATAAGGAGAGACACATAAATCTAAAGACTAAAATTGAGAGTAGTTATGGTCAACTGATTTTTAAAAAACATGCCATGACAATTTAATGGGGAAATAGTCTTTTCACAAATGGTGCTGGAACAACTGAATACCCACATGCAAAAGAATAAAGTTAGACTACTACGTCATATAAAAATTAACTCCAAAATGATGAAAGATCTAAATGTGAGGGCTAAAACTATAAAACTCTTAGAAGGTGTAAATTTGTGTAATTTGTGTAATTTTGCCTTAAGCAGTAGTTTCTTAGATATGATACCAAAGGCATAAGTAACAAAAGAAAAAATTAGTAAATCAGATTTCATCAAAATTAAAAACTTTCATGCTTCAAAGGACACTATCGAGAAAGCGAAAAGATAACCCATAGAATGAGACAAAATATCTGCATATCGTACATTTGATATGGACTCGTATCCAAAATATATAAAGAATTCTTACGACTGAACAATAAAAAGACAAATAACCCAATTTAAAAATGGGAAGAGGACTTTAGATATTTCTCTAAAGAAGATATACAAATGGCTAATAAGCACATGAAGATGTGCTCAACATCATAAATCATCAATACAAATCAAAACCACAATGATATATCACTTCATACCAACTAGGATGGCTAAAATCAAAAAAATAAAAACAAGTGCTGGCAAAGATAGAACTCTCATATATGGCTGGTAAAATGTTGTAACCACTCTGGAAAAACAGTATGGCAGTTCTTCAAAAAGTTAAACATTTCCACTCTTCAGTATGGACCAATGAAAAATAAAAACATACACCCACACAAAAATTTATATAGGAATGTTCATAGCAGCATTATTCATAATAGCCAAAAAAAAACAGAAACAACCCAAATGTCCATCAACTGATGAATAAACAAAATGTGGTATATAAACACAATGGAATATTATTTGGCAATAAAAGAAACAAGTACTTCTACTCCCCTTTACTATGCTGAGCCAGGCAACTGCTTTCTCCCATCCTATAGAAGCCTGGAGAATTATTTTCTGGAGAAGGTAAGATAGAGGATCTCTGGTCTGGAAAACACCAAGCACAGCATAAGGTGGAGGGTATCCTACTGAAAAAAGAGAAATTAAGGAAATATTTACAAACTTACCAATACATTCTCCAGCCTGCATGCCCCTTGTGATGGTTGACTTTAGGTGTCAACTTGTCTGGGCTAAGGGATTCTCAGATTACTAATTAAACATTATTTCTGGCTGTGTCAGTGAAGGCGTTTCTAGGAAGAGATCAGTATTTGAACTGGTAAACTGAGTAAAGCAGATGGCCCTCCCTAATATGGGTAGACAGCACTAAATCCACTGAGGACCCAACAGAACAAGAAGATGAAGGAAGGAGTGGTGCTGGTTCTTGGGCCTTTGGACTCAGACTGAACTACACACTGGCTTCCCTCATTCTCCCAAAGAGCAGATCATGAGACTTCTCAGCCTCCATAATCACATAAGCCAATTCCTAGAATAAATATGTATAGACACACGCATATACATATGTATGTATATATATGCACATACATGCGTGTAAATGTGTGTGTATCCTATTGGTTCTGTTTCTCTGGAGAACTCTGAATAGCCTAGCCTCTCCAAATAGGAGACTGAAATCATCCTACTGGGGGAACTGGACTAACCTAAAAGTCAAGATCTAAAAGTACTGACATCAGAGGTTCACCAAGAAAAACAGCCTAGAGAGATGGCTCTGAAGTGAAGCTCACATCCACAAGCCCTACATCTGTGTGTAGAACTGATTTCCAACTTTTTAACGATCCACTGTCAAATAAAAGTAAACAACCAGGAATTACCTGCCATTTAAGGAAAGATTCTACCATGAAAGAAAGCAAAACAGAAAAAAACCACTGGCTGAAACTGAGACTATGCAGAGAGAAGGAAACATTTTTTAAAAAAAACTTCATTAATATCAGGAAGATAGCAGATATTGTATCCATGAAATAACTAAAAAGAAAAGAGGAACTTTTGGAAAACAACAAAGTAAAACTATGATAGCTGAAATACAAAAATTTAAGAGAAGGGCTGAAAGATCAAGTTCAATAAGTCACTCAGAAACGTCAACAAAAAATAAGAAAGAATAAATTAAAGAACCAGTATAGGAGGACCAACACATGAAAATTAAGATGGAAGAAGATTCATACTGGGGCATATATCACAGTAATATTTTAGACATTGATGACAAAAAGAATCTTTAAAAAATGTGTGTGGGTGGGGTGGGGGAGAGGGAGTGAAGGAGATGGTGAGAGACTGTTTGGCTCCAGATTGCGCAAAGCAACTCTGGAGACTAAAAGGCAATGAAGAAATATCTTCGAATTTCTGAAGAAAAATGTTTCTAACCTCCAACTGCATTTAAACATGGGTGAGGGGGGTACATTTTTAGACATGCAAGGTCTTAAAAAATTTAAGACTCAGGCACCCTTTCTCAGGAAAGTACTAAAGATGTGCTTCACCAAAATGAGGAAATTAACCAGAAAAGAGGAAGGTACAGGAAACAGGAAGGCCGAGACACACAAAGGGTAGAGGAAATCCCTACATGAGATCCTGGGCTTGACCAGGAGAAAACCATCAGTGCAGCCTAGAGCAGGTTGCAAAACTCCAGGAGATGCATCTTAAGTATCTACACGTATGCAGATGAATTTTAGACACTTGGTCAAGAATATGACATTGAATTAGGACAAGTACATGAAAAGCTAAGCAACTAAATAATAACAAGGCAATTACTGATTCCATGATAAACAAAAACTGTGCAGAAAGTAAAAAGTAAAGAGTACTTCATACACAACTCAGTTACAACTAGCATTTAGAATCATGATAACAAACATTGACTCTTGACTCAAATATCATATTTACAACAATATTACAAGGATGGGAAAGTGTGTGTATATGTGTATGTATATGGTAGGGCACAGGGGTTAAAGCGAGCAAAAGTTCTCTTTACTGTTAATGGAATGTTTCAGAAGCAAAGTCTAAAACCAATTTAAAAAAACAATAACTACAAAAACAATAATAAAGCAGAAATACAGCAAGTAATTTAGTGATATGGAACCACTTCTTAAATGCCAAACACTGCTCCAACTTAAAGAGCAAGAGCAAATATAGAGGAAAGAATGCCACACTTCACAAGCCTCATGCATGGAACTATCTGCCTGTTTAAATTATGTGCACAGACACTACTGGAGCAGCGCTGTCCAATGGAAATACAACGCAAGTCACAGATAAAATTGTAAATTTTATAGTAGCTGCATTTAATATAAAGGTAAAGAGAAACAGGTGAAATTAATTTTAATAATATATTTAATTTAATCCAATAAATCCAACATATTATAATTCTAGCATGTAATCAATATAAAAATATATACATTCTTAGTGTTTCGGCTAAGTCTTTGAAACTAGGTGGGCATTTTTTATTTCCAGCGCATCTCGATTTGGACTGGACACATGTCTAGTTCTCAACAGACACTTGTGGTCAGTGGCTAACATAATGGACAGTGCAGTTTGAGAGTATTTGGTTTTATTATAAGAAAAGCACTTATTTCTGTGTCTCAGATTACTCATTTATAGAATAGGGAGT